AGAATTCAATACACTAAGAAACTACTTTATGAAATAAAAATTGTGGGTCACCAATGTCTTTTCCGATTTAAATTATTTAAAGCCACCATATCGAAATGTGATTGTTGCCCTGGCAAAGTAGCCCTGTAAAATCGAACTCGTAGTTTATGCTGTTTTAAGTGAGAACTCGTAGTTTATGCTGTTTTAAGTAAGGCTCTTTGTTTTTCAATTAGTACATAATAATTTGTCCAAAAACTAAAGATAATAAACGCGATTTTCCATTAAAAAAACTGTATCGAAACACGAGAAGACAGTAGAAAACTATGCCTGAAAACCCAAAATTACTCAGAATTATATAATCATTATTTTCATCTTAAGATGTCTATGTGTCTCGATTTCTGTATACTTCCCCCCATTCAATACAACCCCGCATTATAGTTGAAGTGAAACTTGAATAGGTAAGTATATAATAAGTCCAATTATTTACAAATCGAGTATCGTATTTTTACAGAGAATTCAATCTTAATACTTACAGCTCACATAGTGATCCTTCCGTTTTCTTCACAATTTTACATATTTTTACCTTAACTACAAATAGCAGACTGGATATTTTTTACTTTAGAACGGTCTAGTTTAGTAATGAAGAAAATCACAAGCATATTGTGGCTGGATTCAATTTTGAAAAAAAAACAAGATGGCGGATCTGATATGTAAATTACTTCCGGTTTTAGAAGAAAACCATATATTTAGGTTAATTCTTAATATTCAACAATACAATGTGACATAAACATGTTTAAAAGCATACAATTAATATTTTATGTATCGTTTTTAAACAATCTACTCTATTTCTAAAGGACTTCCGGTTTAACCAATTCCTACTTCCGGTCAAGATGGCGCCGATTTGAAAATCGCCTTAAAACTCGATTTAACACAAAATTTTGCGATGGCACTATATCAGATATTTACCACAACAATTAGATCTACCATTTCTGAAAATTTGGTGCTTTTAACAGAAAGTGAACACTTTGGCCCAAAATCTGCACATATCTGCCCTACTATTTGGCAAGAGAATGATGTTGACATTGAGAAGTATCTGATTTTGTCATGCCTAACAATAAACAAGTAATCATGCGATGTTGCTCGTACAATTAAGGATTAAAAGTACTTGTGATATGTTTGCAAATTTTCCAAATTGGACTCGCCTGGCAGCTTGTCCAATTTTGCCAAAATTTTCAAACATCACTTGTGCTATTAATCCCTAAATATACTCGCCATTGCATAGAGTATAATATGACCTTAGTTAGGTTCTAACCTGCAGTCTGTCTCCATCAACATTGCTTGGTACTTCTTGCAGTGTAGATAGATGGTTGGAAATAACAGTCTAAAACATAATTTAAATTATTTCAGATATATTTTAAAATGTAAACCAAGACTCTGATGATCAGGGCAAATTTCAAGTAATTTTCCAATACTGCCAAACTGCTCACTGAAAAGGGTTGAGTGAAAAGTGCAACAATAATGTACTAGATAAATAAGTCTTTTTAGCATATACCAGTACTGTACTTACTCTCTGATAATGGAAGTATGTATTATGTGAAATATATTCAAGACCCATGTGCAGAAATATTTGCCGTAATTTAGTGTAAGAGCCACCACCAAGAAAACTGCCATACACAAAAGAAAACTGCCATACACAAAAGAAAACTCCCAGCAGGTGTTTTATGTCCAGGCATTCTAGGTTGGCTATGCCAAATTGTAATCTTCTGTGTACACTTTGGGTTGTTGCATGTAGTGGTGACAACTGCTTCAGTTCCAACACCTTTTACCTCAATGACTAATGGATTGTCAGCTTTACAACAATAGCAAAAGTTGAAAAGCAACAGAAGCTGTGACAAAAATACAATGTGTTTTGGTTCTGTTCCTAGATTACCATCGACTTGCAATAACCTATCAACTATAAAAAGTACTAAATTATGATCATGACTTTGGTATATATATATTCTGCCATCATGGTGCAAAGATATGAATGATAAATTTCTTTGGGAGTGGCTAAAACAATGGTTCTTTACTAGTACTAATCAGTGTGGTCAATGTCGTATTGTTGTATAAATTGTCATTCAAATTTGGCATCTGTGTGTCAGTTGTGAGGACTTATGAGTATAAAAAATATTTTTATTAACAGCATTTTCATCTGACAAGTAAAATCGTCTGACATTAGGTATATGTAATAACAAAGTAGGGTGCATTGCCACTTAAAGGATTAAAAGGGTGCACAGGCAGATAGTCTGATTAATCCATTGAGTGGCAGCACACTCCACCTGACAAGTAAAATTGTCTGGCATTAGACTGAGTAAAGCACACTCCCCCTGACAAGTAAAATAGTCTGGCATTAGACTGAGTAAAATAAAGTGGGGTGCATATGGACACATTGTCAATTAAAGGGTTAAAATATGGTATTTAGATTAAAATGCTTCCGTTTGCTGAGTATAAAGTGTATCAATTATAGTATTATAAACCTAGCATTTGCATTTATAATAGTGACTTCAAAAACTCATTAATAATTCATAAGCTAATTGGCAAATCATATCAACCATAATATATCACGTGCAGTGGCTTTAAACCTGATAAAACACCCCTAATTAATATTCTTTATATAAAGAATACTAATAAGGCAGTATCTATTGTAGTTGTGTCCTCATTACTATTCTTTATATAAAGAATACTAATAAAGCAGTATTTCTATTGAATTTGTAGTCGTGTTTGAAGCCGTTTAATAAACTCGCAGGACGTGTTTTATTAGGTCTAAAGCCACTCACGCTGCACGCTCGTGTCTTTAAACCTAATAAAACACTCCTGCTCGTTTATTAAACAGTACTTTACATTTACTGGCTTGTCAGGTCGAGTTTTTCCAGGAATCTCCAGCTCTTGGGGCTCTAACTCTTGCTTCCTTTTCTTGCGCTGTAGAGGCGACTTCGGTGTGTGCTTGGTGACAACGTCCATTTCCTAACCTTCAACTCTGACGTGTCATGTGCTTTCTTCTGTCATAGCTTCTATGAACTTTGTAAAAGATACAATGGTCTAAAACATTTATATCCTACATAAAATTATACCTGTACAATTACATAATTACATGCTATACAATATATGTTAGTTAACAACTCAGAAAAATTGAAGAAAATCGTGATTTATACCTTCACGAAGTCAACCCAGATTTTCCATCTTCTCTTTGCTTCAGGTCGATCATCGTTGTGATAAGGAATAGTGTGAACACTTATACCTGAACTTTAGGCAAGCTTTATTTGGCCACTACACAACTATTAACCATCTTTTTTACCAAGGCAAATGAATGCAGTATATGTATATGATCTACAGTGAATTTGCATGCGGTTCTCATGAGTATCTCGGATGACATCACAAAATTTACTCGTTTCAGACTCTTGTTTCTGGCCACAGAAGTGGTTCACAAAAAGTGCCTTTTTACCAACTTTAAACTGCCATAAAAATTGCAGTGGCGTTAAACCTGATAAAACACTCCTAATTAGTATTCTTTATATAAAGAATACTAATAAGGTGGTGGTTTCGAAACGGAAGGTCAAATAATGTTTTTGAAAAGGTTCAATGGGAAACTAACAAGTTGTTATTTTCCGCTGTTAGCAAAAGTTCCCATAAAAATGTGTTAGGAAGGTCAGCAAATGTGTTATGCAGTTGCCTAGCCTAGCCACGCTATGTCTGTTGCGAAAAACCTAGGTTTGTAAATTACGCAGTAAATTCCGGTTTGTTTTTGCACAAAAACAGTCAACCCATCTTGTAAAATTCATTCTGCAATAAGTCTTTAACGCAGACGCTTGTGAGTAAGCAATAGTTGTTTTGGGCCCTGTTTTGTCCAAGTTCTATCCACGTTAAGAAGACTGTCTACCTTTACTCTTGAAAGAAGAAGCTACACATATATCTACGCTAGTAAAAGTTAAAGTTTGGTGCATTAGCAAACGAAAGTAAATACATAGATAATAAGTTGTTTTTTGCAATATTAATAGTTGCGTGAAATGTTTCACACAAAAGTGACTTTAGAATAATTTGCGCCATGTCATGCATGACTCAGTTCTGTTTGTTTTGTAGTTGTTCGTTTGCATGCGTATGTATTCTTGTAGGCTTAAGACCCGCGCTAAGTCTAAGCAGCATTTCCATTTCCAGCACTGCTAAATTCGGGTTTAGTACATGCTAATCATATAAGTAGATATTTGCATGTATATTAGAAATTAATTAGTATTAGTTTCTTGTCATATTTATGTTATATTTACTCGTAGTTTCTATATGGTTTACTATAGTTAGTTTGTTTCACTCATTGTATTCTAGTTCGAACCGATTCTATCCGCGATCGATTCTATATGACTCTAAATGATTCTATCCGATCGATTCAACACGATACGATTCTACTCGATTCTATGTGATTCTGTATCAACCATACTATATCTATTGATAGTATACCATCTGCAAGGACAATATACCATGATAAACGACAATCTAAATTATCTAAAACTGCGATTTATGAACATTCAAGTGATTCAACGTCTTGATATTGAATTTGATCCTACCAACTAAAACCTACAACATCGATTTCACATTTCGACACCTCATTCCCAACAAGTCATCGTATCATGATATCATTGTATTGTACATATTTCGCACCTGTATATATCCTGTTATCTGTTTATTAAATTGTTATAACCTTGTCAAAATTCTAACATCGAGTTCAATTTATTCAACGCACCGCATCTACCCCCAGTAGATTCATTTGGATTTTTTTCAAACATTCATTTCTATCCGGATGAAGCTACATTTTAGTTCGAATTTGCTGCATGGTTAAAAGGAATTCAAAGTATTTATCAATCAAAATATTCTGCATCATACCGTGTCGTATTTTGTCGCTATCATCCTGCAGTTAGATTTACCTTTCCACTTTGATTAGAGATCAATTAACACGTCCTTAAAACGAACATGATTAATTAAAGGCAATTAACCTAATGGCTTCCAAACAGGGACAACTTCAACAATTAAAGAGGGCGCATGGTTTGGCAAGAGCGCACGTAACCAAGAAAATTAATAGAATTAGAGGATTAATGGACAATCCAGATAATTTATCAACCATAAAAGATCTTTTAAACAAGTTGTCTAATGTTCTATATGAATTCCAAAGGGCGCACAATGCCTACCATTCTCAAATTTGTGACGAAAATGAGCTGCATGATTCTGAACAATATGGTAAAGCTGTCGAGTTATCAGTGAAAGAGCTCGAGTAAGAGCAGTGAAAGAGCTCGAATCGACTCCTTAGTAAAACAAGTGCAACTCAGGTACGCATCCAGGCTCGAGCATGAAATCAACTCCTTAGTAAAACAAGTTTCAGAACCTCAGATACGCATCCAACCAGAGGACTCCATCAGTAACGTAAGTTCCTGTGTATCGTCTCGTTCAAACTCAATGTGTAGTTCAACAGGAAGCACTAGTAGTGCGCAGGTGGTGTGTGCTCCAGGACCCAGGTCCCAAGGGAAGATGCGCAACTTTTCTCGCATTTGATATTTGCTTGTTGATGCTTGAACATCTCCCTGTCTGATCTCCTACAGCGAGTACAGTTTGACCATAAGTTTGACCCAGATATTTATATTTAAAATGGGAATTTCTGGTTTACTACAATTTCCACCAGTAAAGCAAGTGACAGTAGAAGAACTGCTATCAAATTTTTCGGGAAAAACAGCCGCCGTTGATGTTAGTGGCTGGATACACAAGGCATTGTCAATCACGGCTTTTGGTGACTATGACAGGTAAATAATGTTTTGCATCATTCGTTGTTGCATGCTGACTTGCTGAGGTACTTAAATTTATTTGCATATTTGCGTTGCTTCTTTGCATATAGTTACACAAAGCATGTGTGGAGATATGTCCGTCTCCTTGAACGCAATGGGGTCACTCCTATTCAGGTGTTTGATGGGCAAAACTTCGAAGCAAAGTTGGAAGAAACTGATAAACGAGAGAGGTAAAAATCTATTTAATACAGTATTATTGATTTAATATTTTAATTATAAAGCACGAATGATCAGTGAAAGAGCTCGAGTAAGAGCAGTGAAAGAGCTCGAATCGACTCCTTAGTAAAACAAGTGCAACTCAGGTACGCATCCAGGCTCGAGCATGAAATCAACTCCTTAGTAAAACAAGTTTCAGAACCTCAGATACGCATCCAACCAGAGGACTCCATCAGTAACGTAAGTTCCTGTGTATCGTCTCGTTCAAACTCAATGTGTAGTTCAACAGGAAGCACTAGTAGTGCGCAGGTGGTGTGTGCTCCAGGACCCAGGTCCCAAGGGAAGATGCGCAACTTTTCTCGCATTTGATATTTGCTTGTTGATGCTTGAACATCTCCCTGTCTGATCTCCTACAGCGAGTACAGTTTGACCATAAGTTTGACCCAGATATTTATATTTAAAATGGGAATTTCTGGTTTACTACAATTTCCACCAGTAAAGCAAGTGACAGTAGAAGAACTGCTATCAAATGTTTCGGGAAAAACAGCCGCCGTTGATGTTAGTGGCTGGATACACAAGGCATTGTCAATCACGGCTTTTGGTGACTATGACAGGTAAATAATGTTTTGCATCATTCGTTGTTGCATGCTGACTTGCTGAGGTACTTAAATTTATTTGCATATTTGCGTTGCTTCTTTGCATATAGTTACACAAAGCATGTGTGGAGATATGTCCGTCTCCTTGAACGCAATGGGGTCACTCCTATTCAGGTGTTTGATGGGCAAAACTTCGAAGCAAAGTTGGAAGAAACTGATAAACGAGAGAGGTAAAAATCTATTTAATACAGTATTATTGATTTAATATTTTAATTATAAAGCACGAATGTTAAAATCTTGTTATTATCTTTTGTATTAAAATACTTTACTTATATGGGTACACTACAGTATATAATCAATTATCGATGTATAAATATAAAATGTTATTGTTATTATATCAATTTGAAAGTGGCAGTATATACCATTTGAGATTATTTACATGTACTTTTTTAACATTATTAATCGTCAAGGGCCACAATGTGACTCAATGGGTTAACATTATTTGCATGTTACTGTCTGCCAAAAGGTATAACCCTTTCACTCATGAACAATGGGTTAACATTATTTGCATGTTTGTCTGCCAAGGGGCAAGGGGTCTATTAATTAACCCATTGAGTTGCATTGCACCCTGATGATTTAGTATTTTACTCTGTCTAATGCCAGAGTATTTTAATCTGCCTAACGCCAGAGTATTTTACTCTGTCTAACGCCAGACGATTTTACTCGTCAAGGGCACAATGTGACTCAATGGGTTAACATTATTTGCATGTTTGTCTGCCAAGGGCAAAAGCAAGGGGTCTATTAATTAACCCATTGAGTTGCATTGCACCCTGATGATTTAGTATTTTACTCTGTCTAATGCCAGAGTATTTTAATCTGCCTAACGCCAGAGTATTTTACTCTGTCTAACGCCAGACGATTTTACTCGTCAAGGGGAGAGTGCTGGCGCTTAATGGGTTAACTGGCCCATCTGCCCATGTGTCTAGTTAACCCCAACCTCGTTCCCAGGGTCTTTAGGAAAGACCCTGGTATCGGCTGGTCACATGCATCATCCAAAATTGATTGCCCGAGGGGGTGTGGTGAAAGTATCAAATTACAAACAGTTAAAAACATAAATTTTGCGAACTATTATACCAGTGAGTTCAAAATACTTGATAATTTTTGTTTATTTTATTTGCTTTGAATTTACAAGAACATTCTTACATTTTTACCAACAGTCAAGTCAAGAAACCAAGCAAATCGTTACTCGCAGTGCTTTCTTATGTTATTATTATTCAATGCTCTCTTCACGCTCGAGCGCGGTTTTATAACAAACGTTTATGGGTTTTTCAGTGGTCACCACTCACCATTTCTACATATCTGATGTTTTTAAAACACGTATTAGATTTGTCCTTTTTTGTAAACGTTGCTATGCTTTGCACGTCTTGTTTATAAGATTTTTAAAAGAAACAGTATTGTATTGTATTGTCTAGAGAGTAGAGCCCAATATCAGCTAATGTAAACATTTGATACTAGCCAAACAGAGAAATGTCTGTCAGTGATTTATCTTTAAAATTTTGGATTTAGTACATAATTCGTATTCGTTAATTATAGTAAGGCTTTAGCCTTTTTCTTGGTCAGATAATATTTTCCTAATATGCACACAACTAGGCTATAAATGATCTACATCACAAATTTACAGTGTCTGTACAGTGTCAGACGCGCACAGACTGCCATACGAATACATATAAATTTTCGAGTTTTCTACTTCTACTAAGGATACTAACAGTTTTCATTGTGTCTGAATCATCTGTTTATTTCTAGTTCAATATAAGTTCATTTATATTTCTATATTTATTTGATAGTGGCATATATAGTGATACATGTAGGCTATTTACACACAAGCAATCCTGGATATGATAGAGACGATACAAGGTGTCCATTAAAAAATAACGGTATTCTATTTCACAAAGCAAAAAATTTAAATCTCACTTGTATTATTAAGAATATATATAAAGCAGAGAAGTAAAGCTTGTGTCAAAACGAAAGCTGTTTATAAAATTTATAAATGTGGTATAAACACAATAGTAAACAGTAAGACAAATATATTGTCGTTTGACTTATCTTTGATGTACGACTTTACTGTAATACCGTAGATTTTCAACAGACAGCTAGACTTTGACATATATACCATGATCGTTGAGATCTTGCAGGAAATTTTATAGTCTTTTGACGGGATTTAAGTTTTGTGGTAAGGCCTTTATAACCAACAATCTCGATACAGTTGGCGCTCTTGGCTGTTTGGCGATATTTCGGAAATCAAAAGATCTCGCTGTTTCGTTCCAATTCCACATCTCATCAATAAATATATTCTTTTGGTTAGAGTATCAGGATATACTTTAATACTAACAGTTAAATAAATATAAACCACATTGGTCGGTCTAGAGATACAAATTTTCTTGTGCTTTAAATTAATATTGCCACGCCGGCCGGCCGTGCTTTATTTGGCAAGTTTATAAGTTGAAATCTGATCCAACTTGCTTGAATTGTAACTCAACACTAGATTATAGAGTATGTTGAGTTTTATCTTTTATTGTCTAACTATAATATTTAATACAAACTACTTCGCTCACAATCTCCAAAACTGATCCCTTGTCCGAGCACATTTCGTGCTCATGTCTCCTATGTCCTAGTCAGGGCGAAGGGAGAGAGGGCGTAGAAACGGCCATACATCGAGCGGACCCATCCGTGATGCGGGCTTCGCGGGGGTAAGATGTTCTAATTGTAAACAAATATGGCTACGCGTATATGACCCGTCAGAAGGTATGCTGAAACTATTGCTTTATAAAATATTACTTGTGTAAAATTTATATGTTTTTGTTACTTTCAGCTATTATAAGAAACTTAAAGATCAGATTTAAGTAACCAAAAACTTTATTTCGGGTGTTATTTTATTTATATACTCTGTTTAATTTGGTGGTTAAAAATGGCCGTCGAAATGTTGTAAGAGAGTGTTAGCGCGCACTGCTTCCTGATAAAAACCCAATGATTTCCAAAACCTAAATTATAATTTGTTATTAAGTTATGATGAAAACCTTTGCGTAGACAAAATTATAGAGTGATCAAATATGAGACAGATAGGTTTTCAACCTTTCAAAGTTCGAGGTCGAATTGACAGTTGAAATGTTACCAAACTCCAAGCTGAAATGTGCAACTTTATCGTGTATATTTTTGTCAATTTTGTTTACTGGCGCCACTTTGTTAAATTCACTTGCAATGGCTCGACATAAGTTACAACATACAAACTGAGCAGAGCCCATGAAAAAGCTATCCATACCCCTACAGTCATTCAGCTTCCTTGCTATTTAGAAGTGCATGGTTGCCCATTAGTCGAAGAAGAATTGCTATTGTATGCGCTTGTTTGCACTTCCTTTCCTAAAAAAAGTCTACAATATTACGGCTAAATAGCAGAAAAATATGACCCAATAATGCATGCAGTTAAAAATATCTATCAAAATAACTTCAAAAATCATGACCAATCATGATTTGAGGAATTATATCTATTCAGGCAACCCATAATTTAGTGACAGGTCTTGGCAAGGTGAAAGCTGAAAGGAACCCTTAAGATGGGTGTACTACAAAACTATATTGACTGAAGTTTTGGAAACATTTAACTAAATTTTGAAGGATTGACTTGCAAACTGTGATTCAGTATCATGGAATTTTACACTTCTGGAGAAGTTGTGGCTCTGTTAGTGCCATTTCTTTCATTGTTTATATATCTTGCTTTTAAGCATTGCTCGCTTATAAAATTTTCAATTCCTTAGGGCTGTTTATATGATCCCACCTACATGGGACGGGACGTTTTCATCCCGCCAAGACAGGATACTCGCCTAGTGTTTATATGGACAAAATACATTGCCGGGATGAAACCATTCGGTGCTTGACGTCATATTTTTGTTGCAATAAAGGCATTTACGCATGCCCAAAAGGGAAAAATTCATTCCGCCTAACCGGGATGAAGTGTTTATATGGGAATTTTTCATCCCGGCTAGGCGGGATAAAGTGTTTTTATATGGGAATTTTTCATCTCGCTTAGGCAGGATCCCGGCATCTGTTGCCGAAATCCAGTCTAGGCGGGATAAGTGGCGGGATCATATAAACACTCTTTAGCATTTGTATTACGAGCGGGATCTCGGTAAGCATCCCGTCCCGCCTGGCCGGGATCATATAAACAGGCCCCTAATCTCATCCCATGATACTGAATCACAGTTTGTAAGGCCCCTTTTACATGAGACCAGGATGAAACCAACCTGGAAAATTGAAATTGCATGTCAACATGTTTACATGAGACCAGTATGAAAATCACAAAATTTTCAATTTATTCCCCTTGCCAGGCAATTTTCTTTTTTAAATGTGTTGTTCACTTGTTCCAATGTCAACATTCATTCCAGTCTGAATTCATACTGGTCTGAGTCAGTCGGCTTGGTCCAGCAGGCGGAATGACTTGAGACCTCATGTAAACATCTATTATATATAATCTAATGACCAAAACGAAATGGTCCCGGTTAATTGACTTCGTTCCAGTCTCATGTGAACTGGACCTAATAAAATCCTTCAAAAGTTGGCTAAATTTTTCCAAAACTTCAGTCAATATAGTTTTGTAGTACACCAATCCCAAGATCTGTCACTAAATTATGGGTTGATTGCCTGAATAGATATAATTCCTCAAATCATGATTTTTGAAGTTAATTTGATAGATATTTTTAATTGCATGGATTATTGGGTCATATTTTTCTGCTATTTAGCCTTAATATTGTAGACTTTTTTCAGAAAAGGAAGTGCAAACAAGCGCATACAATAGCAATTCTTCTTCAACTAATGGGCAACAATTTCTAAATAGCAAGGAAGCTGAATGACTGTATGGGTATGGACTATGGATAGCTCTTTCATGGGCTCTGCTCAGTTTGTATGTTGTAACTTATGTCGAGCCATTGCAAGTGAATTTAACAAAGCCCAGCGAACAAAATTGACAAAAATATACACGATTTAGTTGCACATTTCAGCTTGGAGTTTGGTAACATTTCAACTGTCAATTCGACCTCGAACTTTGAAAGGTTGAAAACCTATCTGTCTCATGTTTGCTCACTCTATAATTTTGTATACGCAAAGGTTTTCATCATAACTTAATAACAAATTATAATTTAGGTTTTGGAAATCATTGGGTTTTTATCAGGAAGCAGTGCGCGCTAACACTCTCGGACAACATTTCGACGGCCATTTTTAACCACCAAATTAAACAGAGTATATAAATAAAATAACACCCGAAATAAAGTTTTTTGTTACTTAAATCTTATCTTTAAGTTTCTTATAATAGCTGAAAGTAACAAAAACATATAAATTTTACACAAGTAATATTTTATAAAGCAATAGTTTCAGCATACCTTCTGATGGGTCATATACGCGTAGCCATATTTGTTTACAATTAGAACGTCTTACCCCCCGCGAAGCCCGCATCACGGATGGGTCCGCTTGATGTATGGCAGTTTCTACGCCCTCTCTCCCTTCGCCCTGGTCCTAGTGACGTATCATGTCCGTGACATCATAGAGACGTAGTCACTACATCACTTTTTTTCTTTTTTTTTTTAATTAATGTAACATAACTATATATCTAAAGTTTCATAATATTGATAATATTGTCAAGTTATTATTGACAAATGTACAGGTAACCCATAATGTTCAACCGGCATGCAGTTTCTTGTTGATCTTCTCAAACCATCATGTTGTTCCTCTTGCTGTATCTCCCCGGCATTTTCTACTTCACCTGCTCTCGTTCTAGCTACCGGCATTTCGTCATCTTCTTCTTCTGCCATCTGCTTTTCCTTATTAAGTTTCCTAAAAAATGAAGAATTTCGGGTGATCCGATGGTCTTTATTTTCTGCTACCACCTTGGAACCCTTGATGGCCGTCACCGTATATGGTTGGGGAGAAAAGTTAGTTGATAACTTATTGCGCTTTTGCTGCTTCACCAAGACCTGGTCACCAACTTTAATGTTGCTTGGTCGAGCATGGCGTCTCTTATCTGCATATTGCTTTGCCTTATCTCTCTGTTGTCCTTGGTTTGCCTGTGCTTCGCTGTGTCTGTTGACTATTAGGGTTGGTGTAATTGTTGGCAATTTCCCTTGAATATTGCGATTGAACAAAAGTTGTGCTGGGGGTACTTTGGTTGTAGAGTGTGGGGTTTGCCTATATGTAAGTAAGAACTTTGAGAGTTCCTGCTGCCATGGTCGCTTTTGCAAGTGTGCAGACCAGATACATTTGCCAAGAGGCTTCATGAATGCTTCAGCCTCTGCATTTCCTTGCGGCCATAACGGTGTGGAGGTGCAATGTTTTATACCCATGGCAGTCATGTATTGGTTAAATTCATGCCCCTGGAATGGCGGTCCATTATCAGACGTGAGCTGAGCAGGGATACTGTGCCTCGCAAATATAGAATCCAATTTAGGAATAACCTTCTTAGCTGAAATGGACTTCAGAGTTTCCACTTCAGGAAATCGTGAATAACAGTCAATTACTACCAGCACGTAGTGTCCTGATGGGAGAGGCCCATAAAAGTCAACTTTAACTTTCTCCCATGGACGATCGGGCATGGGTGGTGACTGTATGGGTTCTGGTGGGTTAATGTGTAAGTTTGCCTGGCATGCCAAACAGCTGTCTACTGTTTCTTTCACTGCCTTGTCCATCCCGGGAAACCATACTGCTTCTCGCAGCAGCGCTTTCGTTTTGGCTGCTTGGCTTTCGTTTTGGGCTGCTTGGCTGTTGGGTTTTGTAGTTTTGATGTGGTTCAAATGTAATGTGATAAGCCCCAAGTCTTCGGCCGTATTTGCACTAAGGAGACACCCCCTGTCGGCTTCTGTCACATAAATGGTTGCCACAGTGATCTTCTTCCGCGATTCGACAGTGGTTTGAAACTTGCCTTTCATTTTGACTGGAACCGTTCCATTGAAGGGATAGGCCTTGATACGGGTCTTGCGAAGTGTGATTGGTCCCAGTTGCTTGAAGGTAGACTGGTCGATGACATTAATAGTGGAGCCCGTGTCTACGGTGAATTTCACCTGATGTTTGTTTATTGTGACCTTAGTAGTGGGGTTATTTTTAGCTGTTGTCTTGACCGCATAACAATAGGTGGACTCATCACTTGAACTGGATTCACTTTGATTATCCGGAGGGCCAACAACCGGTCGGATCTTGTCACCCCAGCGATTACTCTCTGGATAATGATTCGGTACTTCGTTGTCGGGTTTCAACGAACGACATTGTCTGGCGAAGTGATTTAGCTTGCCACACTTTCTGCATTCTTTGCCCCGAGCAGGACAATTGCCCTTCTTGTGTGGCCATTCGCCGCCACAATTTCAACAAGTGCCTTTGGAAGGCTGTTGACACATGTTTTTCCGTAGAGCGTGTAGTTCCTGCCGTTCGAATTGTTTTTGTTCAATGTCGGCCACTTGAAAGTTACTCATTTCTATCTGCCTACCGGCGATCAGTAAATCTTTGAGCGTCATTTTAGGGTCCCGTAACGCTTGCTTTCGAAGTCGGCTTGATGATCCTTTTAGGACAATTTGTAGCATAATGTCAAAGTCCATATTCTCAAACTGGCATCGTTCTGCTAAGCTTCGCAACCGAGTGTGGTATTGATCAATGGATTCATTGTTCTCTTGAGCGGCTTGGCAAAATTTGTATACCTCATAAAGGCGATGCTTTTGGGGTTCAAAGTATTCGTTCAACTTTGCCACTGCTGTTTCCAAATCATCCCCAGTGTCTGGGAGCTGGCGAAATATTTCACGAACCCGTGCGCCAGCTTGATACAAAAGCAATGCACGTTGTCGTTTCGTGTCAGTTATGCCCGTTGCGACTACATACATCTGAAAATCTTCTATCCATATCTTCCATTTTGGAGCGAGATTTGTTCCAATTTCGCTGTCCGGATCAAAAGGTGGCATGGGTTGTACCATAGACCCACTTGAAGTCACCATCCTCGTCGCCAATGTTGAGTTTTATCTTTTATTGTCTAACTATAATATTTAATACAAACTACTTCGCTCACAATCTCCAAAACTGATCCCTTGTCCGAGCACATTTCGTGCTCATGTCTCCTATGTCCTAGTGACGTATCATGTCTGTGACGTCATAGAGACGTAGTCACTGCAGAGTAGAAAGTCAGATCACGATAAATATTAATTTTTAATTGCAGTTCTCTTCACGATTTCTTGTTGCAAATTTAAATTTCATCACACAAAATTGCAAATATTGTTACAAACGCGACAAACACGCTCCTCTCCCACCCTGCCCATAGCATCATTTTAATTTATCACCCAGAATCTGAGTGACACGTGACCAGCCAAAACCAGGGTCTTTCCTTCGCCTCGCGCCGTTCTAAGAAAGACCCTGGGAACGAGGTTGAGTTAACCCATCGAGTTGCATAGCACCCTGATGCACCATACTTTAGTATTTTACTCTGTCTAACGCCAGACTATTTTACTCTGTCTAACGCCAGACGATTTTACTCGTCAAGGGGAGAGCGCTGGCGCTTAATACATATATTATAAATCGTTTGTAGGAAAAGACAAAAGAGGATAGAAAAGGTTGCAATTTTGCTGAAAGAAGGAAGACTGGACGATGCAAACACACTTGAGATGTCCCACAGCTGTCTATGACAAGGAATTACATAAAAGATTGATAATGGTATGTATAAATGATATGCCCAATTACTTGTTATTTACATTACAAGCATGCATATGTTCCTGGTTCAAGATTATTAGTAATTTATACACTATACACTACTAATATTATATGTTATGACATTGTACTAATTACCTTACAAAGTATTATTTTCTTGTGCAGAAATGCAGAGAAGAAAATGTGTTGTATTGTGTTGCTCCATGTGAGGCAGACCCACAATTGGCATTCATGGTCGCTTCTGGTTTGGCTGATTTTGTCATAACAGAAGATTCAGACCTACTCGCTTATGGTTGCCCACACACAATATTTAAATTAAGGTTAACAGGGACATGTCAAAGTGTGCATCTTTCAAGAATTCTGGAATCTCTAAGGATTTCGAAAGAAGAATTCACAGATTTATGCATCCTGGCTGGTTGCGACTATTGCATACTACCTGGTGTGGGTATTAATAAAGCCCATGCCATTTTAAATGCTGCTGCTAAAAAAGAAGAAGATTGTATTAATTATGTGGAACAAATGTTTGCAGAAAAGGTTGAAATTTATGCCTATAAAAAGAAATTTCTGGTTGCTAGAGATTGTTTTGCACATGCTATTGTGTTTGATGTTTGCTCACTTGAAGTCACAAGGCTGAATAAACATGAATCCAATCATATTTGTTGTAAGGAATATGGAAAGTATCCTGTGGTACTATATGATGGGTATTTTTACACCCACCATGCAACTGTATTTTATTTCCACCTAAAATTACCAGTAAAACATAAGGTTTAACTTATCTGGACATGTGTGGTTACCTGTGGATATAGTATTACATGTACCTGTATCTTCATGTGTAAAAGGAAATATTCTTATATTGAATTAGTGCCATTACATAACTGATACATAGTTAAACTATTGCAAATGAAGTTGTTCACCAAGTTTTTCATTGTGTAACTAATACTGAATTTTCCATAGATTGCCACACCAGAATTGTGGGGCAGCAGGTTTGAGTTACAGTTGCATTTAAAATTAAAAATTGTGTAAAATAAAGTTTCGTTCAATTGCCACCTTAGGAAAATTAGCTATTAAGATATGGATTTCTTTAGTATTTTCATTAACTTTACATACAAGATCCCTGTCAGATGTCACAGCATGTCACATTGCAATTGGAAATGTTTTTCCAAAAACATTTGAAGTTCTGGAAAGTATTCCACTTCCATTTAAGGTATTACTATAATTATATCCCTGCAACATTATTCAAGTGTGTGAATACTTTATTATTTAGGTTGGTCGGGTAATTTTTTAACTTTGTTATTGTAACATTTGAAGGGGCCAATGTTGCATGGATTTTGGCATGTAGTAAAAGAAGGAACACCGGAATGGCGGAATACCGGAATGGCGGAATACCGGAATGCCGGAATACCGGAACATCGTTTTCATTTTGACGGAAAGTTAAAAGGAAGTATTTTAAATCCGATCTGTAAAAGGAATTTAAATATATTTATAAAGGCTATAAACAGGCAAAAATTACAGGAACCACTGAGTATTTTAAGTATGAATACAAATGCGAAAAAAGTTGTCCTCACTGGAATGGGATAAAGATCTGCTCCCATACCATCGCTGCGGCTGAAAGCAGAAAATTTGTCCACGGTTGTGTGTACAGACATGCCACAACATCCCGGAAGAAAAGGCGGTGTACCTGTTACATCAAGGGGAGCAACTCCTAAACTACCCATTGATGCACGACGAAAGAGCACATACAGTAAATCTACTGGAAGTTCGTCTATTGTAACAGAGGTACCAAATACAAACCCATTCTACGTTAAAAAGATGAACATTCGAATTGAAGTATGCCAAGGATGCAGGGGTCCTCTGAAGTCGGCAGGGAAAGAAATTCAGCCCCCGCCGTTCGATTACTGTATTGCGAGGAGGGAAAGAAGACCATACAGGGGTGACAATGGCCAACTGAAAACTCCATCCCGACAGTCAGATGCACATTATCACCTGCGAGCAGCATGCGTTAAAGCTGCAGAACCGTCATTTGTAACATCTTCTCTTGTGATACCTGACGACATTCAGCTAACAGAAGTTCATGAATGATATCTCGTCCATGAGTTTGGGCTCAATTTCGTTGCGAGATAGAGACATCGACATATAACATATATGACATTTGGCTGACATATGACAATATATCCTTTACAGAATAAAATAGGGATTTTTACTTGTTGTTTACGTTACGTTGTGACACAATTGTTGTGTTATGTTATGTTTCAGTGACCTACTCAGTAGGCTACTCTGTAGGCTTACAGTAGGCTACTGTAATATTGTCGGTTTCAGGTCACTTTTCAAAACGCGGTTCCGGTTTGTTGTGAATATTCACATTCAGCTTTTTAAATTTGGAATATTGAGCGTGGAATTACAATTTAAGTTGCTTACTCAAATACCGAAGTACTGAACTGGAATACCGACGTAGCGATCTTAAACTCGTAATTTGCAGTGTTTTACTTATATAGCCAACGAATTAAACGTATTTCTCAAGACTTAATAAATAATTGGGAATTACCAACAAACAAACTAGGGAACCACGCTTTGAGAGGTGATCTGAAATCCACAATAACTAGTGTATTGTTTACATTTACTTAATTCAAATTCACGTCGAGACTTTAATTTAAATTAATCAGCGAATCCTGGTAGAATATAACTGGGATATTAGTTTTATTCACACGAATATATGTATTCCTTCGAGGAAAACAACTTATGAGATGTCTCACAAGAAAATGTTTAGCAACAACTCGTAATGCAAGTCGTTGCCGACCCAATCGAGTTTCAAGTAACACCATTTACATGGTGAAACGTCGCCAAACATTGTCTTGTGGGACATCGCGTTATTAAGTGTTTGTGCGTTTGATATCCTTGTAAATAAGGTCTACTAAACTGCCGCATTGAATAATACTGTAGAAAAATTGACATTTTTTATTCATGTTTAAACGCCTTAATTAAATAAAAAATTCCTTATGGATTTGAAATATTTTTTTAAATTGTCCTTCAAAAGTAAAAATACTATTCCGGTGTTCCGGCATTCAGGTGTTCCGGCATTCAGGTGTTCCGGTATTCCTTCTTTTACTACATGCCCAGCATCACTTCCAACATCACTTCCAACATCACTTCCAACATCACTTCTATTTATGTCATCAGTTCTACCATCATCACTTTCACAATAATCACTTGCATTGTCATCACGTCCACTATCATCCTGATCAGCTTCATCCCAACTTCCACTGCCATCACTAACATTTCCACCAACACCTAAAATGTTGCATACCATGTATTTGGCACTGCCATCAAGTAATTTACAGCTTGAAGATGTCAAAGCTATTGCCCATGATGATCCCCGCGCTTAAATCGTCCTTTTTACATGCCTTTCCTTCCTTGAACCCTGGAGCAATCTTCCTTAAAATCTCTGTTGTTCTTGCTACATTTCGCTTGTTCTTCATTTTCTTGCTCTTGCCGCTGTTTTGCTTCTTTGAGCGGGACTTCCTTTTCATAGCGGAAAAAGTGTGTTTAAATGCTGAATTGCATGTTTTCTCAAGTTCTGTAATTCTAGCACGTATATTGTTTAACTCACTTCTAAGAGCCTGCAGGTAAGTTAGCTGACTTTCATCAAAATCATGTGCTGTTTTACGTCCGGTCAAAATTCTGCCGGATGAATGAATAGTTTTTTCCATGTGTTCCTTGAGGCTTATTTCCATCTTATCAATAGACGTTTCAATGCTTTCAATTGCCAGCATATTCTGTCTTATAGTTTTGGAGTCATGAGGTTTTAGGACATGATCGTTTTAGGACATGATCCTTTTCAGACTTAAGTTGGTCCACTTGTTTTTTATCTGTGCTACCCTGTTTTCCTGGTCGTACTCTCTTCTGGCTATTGGTCAGCAAAAAGTATGTGGTGGAAAAAAGGCTGGTTACACAGTACCTGGAACATCTTCGCGAACTAGAAAGAAGGAAAAAAAAATGGAAGATAGCAAAAAGCGCGCAAATCTGGAAGAAAAGAGAAAGACCTTTGAAGATTACAACTGGAAAGCTATTTACAGGGAAGGAAAAATAAAGAAACTGAAAGTTGCTGTATTGGACATGTATATATCAATGAGAAATTTGAAGCAGTCGAAAGGGGCGTTAAAGCAAGAAAAAGTCGAGATCGTATCACTTGACATAGCAAAGTCGCTAGTCCCTGATAACCGTCAACTTTCTGATGATGACAGAGATAGTAACGACCAGGATTCTGGTGACGACGATGTTGTCGTGCAGGAGATTGGAAGTGATGAGGATGATATTGATTCCGACGACGATGAAGGACAAATTTATGAAGGTGATGCGGGAGAAGAGGAGGAGGAGGAGGAAGAGAACATTTCCAACCTTTTGCAGACCACAGGATCTGGTAGAGTTTGCCGGACATGGAAGGGACGAGCCAATGCTATAGACTAATTTACATAAACATTTCAAATGATGTACTATTTAATGCATGTATAGGAGTGCTTTATACTATATAGCCATATTTTATTGACGAAATAATATCGCTGTTTGATGCTTGATCGATTGGAAGGAAGCTATCTAAGGAAGGGGAGGGTCACAATTTTCTGGGCTATTATTTTGTGGGGGGGGCTAAAATTTTTGGGCGCTAATTTGAACAGGGGTCAACATTTTTGGGCCCTCGTTTTAGATATTTTACCGGCCCTCCCCCCCCCCCAATAATTAATGACCGCTCCTTTAGAATATAAACACGATGATGGAATGACTTTTTCACCAGACTAGAAAAAGTTTCTGTTTAGCATTAATTTATTCAGGAAATGGCTGAGGAATTTGGTAAAATAAAATGTAAAACTATAATACTATATCGTTATACAAAAGTTTTAATACACTTTTCACTTTACAAGTTTCGAAAACACAATAATACAACACAGCGTCAGGACACCATACAGAACAATAAAAACACGACATATCAAAAGAAATAGTATCGTGCAAATAGAGATTTCTATTATTAGATACAAAACAAAATTGTTTTAAAAAAGAATATCATGGCTTTTCCCAACAGTCGGGATAGTTTTTGCTATCCACGCCGGGTCAGCTGTTCTCACAAATCGGTCATCTAATATAAACTTTTTCAATATATTTCGGATGGACATGAAACTTGCTACATCAATATAACTTTCCATATTCCGAATAATCGTATGTTTTTTATTTTTGAGATCTAACGGTTTTTGGCGGGAAAATGACGTCACGAAACCTCCAGTTAAAATTTACTTTCAATATCTTAATAGTTTTGTTGCAGAATTTGGAAGAACATGCCATGAACAGTTCAAAACTGAAAACGGATTTTAAATATCCAAACCTAATCCAAAGTTATTTCATCATAAAAACCGTGAAAAATCTAAAAATAGTAACAAAATGGTGGAAAATTCGATTCTAAACTCCCTGTATCTCGTGATTAGATTAAGATATTTAAAATCTGTTTTCAGTAATTGGAACTCTTCATGACATGATCTTCCACATTCTGCTTAAAAACTATTAAGATATTGAAAATAAATTTTAACTGGAGGTTTCGTGACGTCATGTTCCCGCCAAAAACCGTTAAATCTCAAAAATAAAAAACATACGATTGTTCGGAATGGAAAGTTATATTGACCTAGCAAGTTTCATGTCCATCCGAAATATATTGAAAAAGTTTATATTAGATGACCGATTTGTGAAGACAGCTGACCCGGCGTGATCTGTTTGAAGTGAATTTTCGAGTTTTAAATAAGTTTTAAATTGTCTGTGGATATGTTTGGCACAGTAAAATAATAAAGGAATCCTACTTTTCAAGTTAAATACAACATTTTGTGCTTTTTTAGTTTTCTGGGGACGATTTTTTCAATATTTTGTAGATTTTGAAACCAAATTTGCTAAATCATTCTTTTTGAAAAGCATTTACTAGCCAGCTAGTAAATAATGCGTCAGACTTACTAGTCAAGTAGCCAATCAGAACACCGATTTTTCATAGTTGCGGTTCCAGAACTAATAAAAAAGCATGGCCGGAATTGGAACTCTGTTATTTTCAGAGAGGTGTCTCCTTTCACAGTAGGAAGAAATTTGGACTACACAAGGAAAATATACACCATTAGCAAATCATTATGACGTTTACGTTTGTCAATCTTTTTATTCTAACATTTGAAAGCTCTCTCCTTGATGTCTTGAAGTGTCTGCTTGCCTGGCAGCAGACAAAGTAACATTTGACTATACTGTATATGGCTTAACAAATCAGTTCCGGTTCTAGCCTGCGAACAGGCTCTCAAGGTGAATTGAGAGCCTGCACTGATGATATACAATTTTGAATATCTGCCCCGCAACGTTCGTTTTCCAAATATGGAATGTCTATCCTTATATGGTGTGGTTTACACTTTTCGTGCAAACTAAATTTAGACCTAGCCATATATGTCCAATATAGCCATCGGTTGTCCTCAGTGGGCAAAAAGACGTCGATTCAACGTTGAATCCACGTCATCCGACGACGTCGAAACAACGTCGAAAAAGTGGTTGAAAATGCAAATCGAATCGACGTTAAGATAGCGACGTCGTTTCAACGTCAACTTTCCGACGTCGAAACAACGTTGATGTTTCCACGTTGATTCAACGTCGGAACCATGACTTCGAGACGACGTCGCTCTTTCAACGTCGATTCGATTTGCATTTTCGACCACTTTTTCGACGTTGTTTCAACGTCGATTAAACGATGTCGAAACAACAACGTTGTTTCGACGTCGAACAACGCCTAAAAGAAGACGTAAAAACAACATCGAAAAAGTGATAGAATATGCTATGAATCGACGTTGAGGTCCTCGGTTGGTTGAAAGCGTTATCAAAAAAATCACATCATATATAATTTTAAATAATTTATTGTTAATTTTTATACAGGGTGTCCCGAAAAAAACCCATACCTCAATTAGAAATTGGAATCTTTAGAAATGTTGCTAATTGTCTCACTGATGTGCATACAAATATATATAAGCTATCGTAAATTCCCAAGTGTATAAGATGTTTTCTAAAGATTCCAATTTTTAAAGGTGTACTCTTTAAATATTAATACTCTTTAATTAAAGGTATACTCTTTAAATATTATTACATATGCAATAATATATAGTACTTACAGGTAGCTCAGTTAATATCTCGCATAATTATACAATTATACATTTATTTCAATTCTAAAGTTTTTGATTTCTACAGGTTCGCTTCATAACCATATATAGAACTTCTATCACTATTACACATTCAGTTAATTTGTGTAAGAACAGGTTGGAACAATAAAAAGTTAATTACACGCAGAAAGTCTTTACGTACGTCCTCCGCCACCTCTTCGATCCGGTTGCGTATTTTAACAATTTTACAACAGCCTGGTGAACATCTGCCTCGGTCGAATTTCCATAGTGTTTTAAGACACTTGCTGCAAATAAAAGAAATGTGTGAGATGATTGCATGTGCTATTCCCTGGTCACAGAGGGGTGTTTCGGATTGATAGTTGTAACATATCACAAATAGTATAATTTAGGCTAATCTGCTTACAGTACCTTTGACAATTTTGAAAGTTTCTGTTTCCCCAAACGGAAGCTTTCCTCCATGGCATTTCATGTTCATGCCAGCCATGACAGCATTATCTATAAGCCTAAAACACAAATAATAGTAATGAATATTTTTACTTCTTTGTATTTCTGATGTTATTTGTCAGTGCTTGCATTTTTGTTTGAATATTGCTTACCTTTACCATTGTGGTAAGTAGAACAAGAGCTAGGGCAAATATATAATACAATGTACATTACCTAAGCATTACATTCTTGACATTGTCTTTTAATGAGGAACCTCCAATTTTTTCAATTCTAGAGACCTAAGACAGATTTATTTTTCAATTAAATTATGCTATTCACATTCTATCGCCGTAGTGAAACAAGAAATGTTAACAATTCAATAATCGGTTTATTATATGGCTGAATTGAGTCTGTGAGCATATATCCTTTTAAATCACGTGAATTAAATCGGCTATCGTCAGTTTCACTGGGTAACAATATATCGTAGGCATGCATGTTCAATAAAAAACAATTTGGTTGTTTGAAACTTATATCTGTATATGTTAATGACACACAATTGAGAAATTAAAAAGCAAAAATTTTTTCTGTTTGCAAAGCAAAAATTTCGGAATTTCCCGCCAGATAAACAACATCCGTGACACCTGTCCAGATACGGAAAATACGTTGTCAACCAATCAGAATAGAGAATTTTGAAATGCCATATAATATATATTACCTATATGCCCTGTGAAAATATCAAAGTAAAGTATGTGGGGCAAATATGAAATATAAATAAACAGGTTCATCATCACCGACATACCGTAAACCTCTGACTATAACCCCCCTTGTATAAGCCCACCCCACATGTACTAATGCTCACCTCACCCCAAATATAAGCCTCCCCAGGCTTCCCCCCCCGAACATAAGTCCCCCAATCAATATACTGTAAGCCCAGTAATCGCGGTGAAGGCTATTTCAGATACGGTGGAGCACCTGGTCCCCAGGCCTTTACCGGCGCAGCCGCGAAATTCAACATGGCGCCAAGCTAAGGAGTGGAGTTTAAATGGAGTTTATATTCTATATTTTCTATTGTTGTTTTTTGGTCTTTTTATTCTTTTTGGTTGGTAGAACTTATATTCTGAAATGCCAGGTATCTTATTCTTTATCTGATTAATCTCAAAAAAGATTTTATGACAGAATTTTTCTCAAACATAGTTAAAGTTATAATGTATTAACTATTAAAGTCTTGTCTGTACGGATATACTGAGTGAGTGATGGTTGTGACTGGGTTGTTCATTTAACAATGAAATCAATTTAGACTATTTTACTCAAGCTGGCAAGCGGCGGTTAAATAATTACTTGGCTTGATGAAGATGATATTATTTAAGCAGGATAATACATGCCAATGTGGTCACAGCTAGTGCATTAATTGACAGCATTCTAATAGACTGAGTATTAGCAGTTTTAAAAAGTTAAACTGCCAGGCGTATGATATTTTATCATATAATTGATATAAATTATAAAAAATAAAGTGCTATAACTGAATAGTGGAACAATATTGCTTGCATTTTCACCACCACACTCACAATTACCTTATGAATGTGAGCATGCCATGTTGCAGTGAAAAAATATTATGATTCTGGCAAACATACCAATTAACATGGGCAAATTTGTTTAAACAACGTACACTGCAACAAATCATGATACAGACAAGCACATCCTGTATATGAGGCTTGCTAAGATGTGTAATTAAGGATTACAGCACATTATCGGGATTTACAAGCACGAGTTCACGAACAAGAAACAAGAAATTTAACACTGCACGAGGCGCAGCCGAGTGCAGTGTTAAATTTCGAGTTTCTTGTTCGGGAACGAGTGCTTGTAAATCCCAATAATGCACGAACAAAGAGTGCTTTAAACGTTTTAATATTCAGTTTGAGTAAACCATAAAAGAACAAACATTTCATACTGTATATGTATGCAAAAAGAAATATGCAAAAAGAAACGCTACAGTTGATAAGTCATTTCTCAAGAACATTTTTTTATTTAAACCAAATTAAATAATTCATATTTACATAAATCAAATTTTATAATTACAAAATTTATAATTACAATAAAAGTCAGTATAATTTTCAAATTGAGAAAAGTTATTAAATAAAGATTTTTAATGTAAGTGAAGTTCAAGTAAACCATTATTAACACGCAACATTTATGTTAACACTAAACAGCTAAACTGTTCACTTACTGTTTTTAACGATATTCAATGTAATATTGCAGTTATTAAATTCAGCACTTCGTAGCAAATTTAAAGTAGGAGAATGGTTAACATTGGCCACAATGTCGTTTTGCACTTGACTTTGGGCTTGCTGTGACTGTGTGTTGCCTTCTTGTTCGAGCTCCTGCCGTGCTTGTGCTGACAATTCGTTCCCAAATCTCGCGAGGATATTTGACGATTCCTTTTCCTTATCCAAAGTTTGCCGATCACAGTAGAACTTGACACTTGATTCATTCCTGTGGCCTGACGTTTGCATGATTCTGTGGATGGGAATCCCAGCGGCATCCAAAACTGTGACGGTTGTTGACCTCACGCAATGGTTGCTGTAAACATGGCTTAAATTCGCATCTTTTGAAATTTCTTTCATCATTGATCCTATTTTGTTCACACCAATTGGACAGTTTTCGAACCATATTTGATCACCAGACATGAAATTTCTTTTCGGCTTTTGGAATAAAGCATTTTGTTTTGGATTCAAGACAGCGAGAAGCTTTTTAAAATATCTCACGGGACATGTTGATTTCCCATTGCTGAACATTTTCGGGTCTCCTTCGTCAATAGCTTTATCTCCAAGCCCGCCTTGATGATTTTTCGTGCTTTCGCTTACTGCCATTGCCACATACTCATTTCCAGTTGCATCCGTTTTAATCTCGAAACTTTCTTTTGTAAGGGACCTTTGGTTTTCTCGACCACGGCGGCAAAAGTGCAAGCTTATATTGAACCAGTTCACTCAAAGTAAACTTAATGGCGATTCATCTCCAAACACTTTGGTTTCGTAGCACTTTTTGATATCTTCGGCCGAAATAGACGGGTGATGACGAACTTTACCCTGTCCCTGCGCTTTTATCAGTTTTAGCTTCGCATTGAGTGACTTGTTTGCAGCTTTGAACTTGTGGTCTCGGATGATTGAAATGCTGTTAAACTCTGGCAATGCAGAAAGATGTCTATCTAGTGCAGCACGAATGGACAAATGCGCCGAAGGACTGTAATGCTGTGTCGGTGTTTTTTTCAGCTCTTGATAAAACTTTATAAGCCTTTCGCAGAGGATGTCAGAGGATAAACTTTCCAATGTTTCTTCTGGGAATTTTTTTGACAACCAATCTGTTAAATCCATAAAAATTTTGTAACTTGCATGAAAGCCAAGGGTTAAATCGATTTCGATTTCGGTTCTCTTTTGGTCACCTTTAACCGTGTAAACTACACAAACAACAACAACAACTCACCTTTAAATAGCGAAACACCCCATACCGTTGCTCTTTTTGTGTTTGTTGGCGTTGCCTCCGAAATTATCGCTTCTATTTCCTCAGAGGACAATTCCAAAAACTTTTCACACTCAGCAGCCATCTTGCAGTGCGATAAAAAGTTCATGCACGGCTATAATGCACGGCCGTGCATTGTTGTTATGTAAAAGTAAGTCACGTGGTACAAATCGACCAATCAGAACACTAGTTTACGAAAACTGAATAATAACAAACATTATTCAACATCACACAATTTAGTTACTGTCACAAAAACACACATAATAGAGTAAAACCTTATATGAATATCATATCTGTAAAGAATTCAGATATTCAAGTACTTCAACAAGACATAAAAGAACACATAGTGGAGGCAAACTTTATGATCAATCTCATGTTTGTCATTAACAGTAGGGTGTAATGGACTAAGGGGTGGACCATTAGAAAAGTGATGGGGGGGGGGGAGGGAAGCAAAAATAAAAATTGAACAGAAAAAAAAACTTGTGCACCAAAAGTTTGAAAAAAAAATTCGTGCAGAGACTTTTCAATAGAGAAAATTATAAGTTGAGTTGTTGTTATAAGTTTACTATCAGGAGGAAGGGCAGAGGAGGCAATTTGCCCCGAGCCCCCAGTGTAAGGGTGGCCCCCAAATTTGAAAAATAAAAAAAATAATTTGGAACGCTTTTTATATAAGTAATGGTGTGAGAAAAAATTTCCTAAACCTAAATCTTGCAGATATTGGTGCAAAAAAAGGGTTTTAAGCGTGTTTTAACAAGAATTTGTCAGGGAAAATTTCTTTTGAACCTAATTAACTTAATTGATGTTAGTTAGTTTTTTCAAAAAAAATTTTGAAAAAATAATTGTACAGGTTGGAATATTATGTCCTACACCCCCCCACCCCCATCACTTTTCTAATGGTCTGTCCCTAAGCCATCCCTTTTAATGTGTTTCTTTAGTTGGGAGAGGAGTTCTGAGGCCCTTCATAATTTTTGAAGATTACATTACATAATACAATATTAATTTTACTCATTGCAAACAGCAAGCTACAAATGAGCCTTGTATTCCATGGACCATGGAATGCAAAGTATTTAACTATTTCTGGGTAAAGTTCAGTGATTTAGAGTATTTATATAGATATTGTTTTTAAGAAGTTAAAACTGATCACATCATCAATCTATTTTTGGGTCAAGGATATACCCTGCAAAAATAGGACTTTCCATTTATTTCACAACTTGAAATTCACACTCTATTAGATACTAGGGGCATATGGGGTACTCATTTCCCAGAGCCTTAATTATGGATAGGATGAAGTCTCATGATCAGTGCACCCCGTCAAGGGCCCGCTTGCCGTACTGTTCAGAGTGTGGGCAGGGAGTCAGCTTTTAAGCTAAAAAATTTTTTAAAAATATTAATTAATTAAATAAATAATTAAATATTTATTAATAATTATTAATTATTATATACTATTAATTTGTTTATAATTATTATTATTAATTAATTAATTAATTATTAATTTAATTTATTAATTAAATTAATTATTTAAATTAAAATTTCCAAACACTGCATAAAGGTTAGCCCAGGGACCTTCCATGACAAGGCACACCCCCTGGGCCCCTGGCTCTTGCCGGGCACAGCCCTCAAGAGTTGTGCCACTGAGGAGTGAACCTCTGACCATATTCCAGTCAGCTTGCTGTACTACTGTCTATTTACTTGAGCATAAAATATCGTTGTAGAAAAGCTAATTCAATCATAAAATGTTGAGTTCATAAACCATGATATGCAGGGCAAAGGTACAGAAACGTCTAGTGGCAAGGGTCGACCAGAGGGTGGGTACAATTGCATCTGACTGATTTCTCAATGAGTATGGAATACTCGGGATTACCAAGTTAATTGGTCTTTTGGAATTTTGTGTGTGTTATGTCTATAATGCCAATGGAGAAAGTGCATTACCACTTGCAATCTAGCTACAGCATTGATTTTCACAATTTTGCAAACTATTAATTAATGGCAGCTGGCAATGTCACAATTGTAACACAAGCTAGGCCGTCGGAAACGGGGGGCTTGACCCCCCCTATAATTTCCATTTGTGTAAGCAAAACACACAAAATAACTAGAAAAGTGCAAAATCAATTAAAATTTGTTCAGATATATTCTTGAGTCCCCCCAATATTGATTTACTTCCGATGACCTTGTAACATCCTGCCCAGATATAAGCTAGGCCCTCATGTATACAAGGTTATAAATACCCTATTGAATAACTTGCACACCTGACATCACTATATAAAGAAAAATGGGCCGGCCCTTGCTTGTGCCGGTTAAAAGGTAAGCATGAGCTACTAAGTGTGTTAGCTTATTTAGTTCATGAAACAAGACAATTAGGAAAGTAGTAAAAGAGGACACATTAGTTGTGAATTTGTTTTTTTTGCTATCCTCACGATAATGTTCACTCAGTATGAAATGAAAAGGTACTCAGTGCACAACCTGTGCAGAGTCCATTTTTTATGTTGGCACACAATTTGGCATTAAAATTGTATATTGTTGATTATAATCATAATCTTTTTAGCAATGATAGATTCAGCCCGGGCACTCAGGTTGTTTTTGTGGCATGCTAGGCGAACAGGTGAGGACTCTGAACCCGGCATTGCTTGAGGAGTAACCCCGGCGAAAATTTGATGAATTATTCATGAAAAATTCATGAATTTTGTTCATGAACTTCCATCAAAAGTACATGAACTCTTCATGAATGTGCATGAACGTTAAATGGCACAGTTCATGAAATTAACAGTTCATGAATAATAAGTTCATGAACTTTCTTGTTCATGAACAGTTCATGAACTAATGTTCATGAATTTTCTCATGAACATTAAATGGCACAGTTCATGAAAATTGCTGTCCATGAATACTTCATGATCTTGTAATCATGAACATTTGATAAATCTTACACGAATAATTCATGAATAATTCATGGTTAGCGTTTCATGAATTCCTCATGAATTTTCATGAAGTGATTCATGCACACTTCATGGCGCAGTTCACGATCAATATGCATGAAATGTTCATGAACTGATTTAGATTTCTTAACTATTGGAAACCATATTATAACATAGTTCATATCATAATCTTTACTCTATGAGAATGGGTCTGTCAATGAAATCGTATAATTATAATATACGAACCATGCGCTTATGAATCGTTTGTGAAAAAGCTGATGAAATTATTCACCAACATTTTATGAATCTTAACTAGTCCGGTTTAATAATCCAGCTACACTTCAAGTTTTACCTATACTGCATACAGTTAAACTATTACAAGGTTTTCTTTACTATATGTGTTCATATATACGCAGTTCAGTAAAGAACTTCAAGTCTTCATGCACGCATTTCTTATTAAAACTTACTGTCGAAACAGCTGAAATAACAAATAGTAAGTCTTCCGCCAGTCATGCCGCATTTTACCACATGCAGGGCAGGCTCGCAAACAAGGGAACAAATGGCATGAACCTCATACATCCAATAACAAAATCGCGTATTCGCGTATAGAATATAGTAGGGTTTATTTAGGCATTTCCCGGTCGAATGTGTGCTCGTAATAATCTATATAGTGTACATTATGAATACTAAGAAATGAAATACGTTTCACTATTACGAGTCTTCTTAATTCAATAATAATTCGTCATTCAAATAAGTTGATGGCAAAATCATGTATCGACTATATATAAATTTAATCGATTTCAAAACTCGATTTCTTATATATATATATACAGTCCATCACAGTTATATTATCACTTCGACTCTGTCTCCGTACACCGCTGATAGTGCGCCATGCGGTTGCGCTGTCATATCCCTTGCGAAAATAACTATATTATATTGCTATTTTAAAACTATTTTATTACTATCACCCCTATTTTTATGCTATTTTATTCAGAAGCAACCCTATTTTAATTCTATCATAATATTTCACCAAAAGAAAGAGCCATATTTAATTAATGTTTTATTTTATTTCATTCCTATTTTTATAGATAATAGAAATAAAATCCCTTTTTTTTTATTTCGATATGACAAAAAGAAAAATTAAATTACAAACGTACAAATACCACACATAAATACTTTAAAGTGTCAGGAACCAACAACAGGGTTAAAAACCCCAATAACAGTGGCCCATTATAAAATATAAATAAAAGAAAATCAGCAACACTGTGATTGCTTTACTAAAACAGAACAGTTATGACATTTTGGACATATAGTTTTCCAAGTTCTTGGATTGTCAGTGTCATAAATAGTTTTTAGACAATCTTTGTAGTATTTCAATAGACTATTTTTAAACTGACATAAAGTTTCTAATAATCGTATGGATGATGGCAGTTCATTCCAAATTCTAGCAGTTCGAATAAAATAACTAGATTGATATGTTACTGTACGTACTTTTGGGATATCAAACATTAAACCTGATGAAGGATTACTTCTTCTCGTTACACGTAATGGTTGTTTAACTTTTAAGAAGTCATGCAACTTTAAAGAAAGCATGCCAGATGCCAGCTTATACAAATACAACACATCCAAATATTCATGCCAATACGACATCGGTAAAAGATCTAATTTTAAGAGCCGGTCTTTGTATGTAATAGTAGTATCATATGGTAGGCATAGAATATACTTTGTTGCTCTTCTCTGCAAAGATTCCAATTGCTTGATTAGATGTACTGACTGTGGAGCCCAAACTTGCGATGCATGAACTAAATGATTTCTTACTAACGCCATGTAGAGTACTTTCCTTGTATCAACGTGATTGAATCCTGTTGTCCCTCTTCTAATGTACCCCAAAGCGTTGTTAGCCCTCTTTGAAATTGACAAAACATGCGCGTCCCACTTCAGATCGCTTTTTATTAACACCCCAAGGTCTTTTTCACAGTTTGTTTTTCCCAAAGGTAATCCCCCAAGAGAATAAGAAAATGTAGTAGGCTGAGTTTTACGATTCACACTTACTATAGTACATTTCTTACTGTTTAAAAGCATTTTATTTTCACAGCTCCATATGGATGTTCGGTCAATGCTAGTTTGCAAGTCCATACAATCCGATGTAGTCCTGATAGTTTTATAAATCTTAGAGTCATCGGCAAACAATACCATCTTTGCATCCGAATTCTCCATAACGCTGTCAGGGAGATCATTGATAAACATGAGGAACAAGAGGGGTCCCAAAATCGACCCCTGAGGTACACCGGAGAGCACCGGCAAAACCCCCGAAGTCGATCCAGGGATAGTTACCTGCTGCATATTTTAATACTATATTCCCGAGCTTCAGGGAAAAAATAGGTTTAAAATAGCCTATTTAAATTCTATTTTACTTCACTAAAAAGCAGTTAGAAATTAAAATAGATATAAAATATACTATTTTTAAACTCATAAAATAAAATAGGCTGTTTAAATCCTATTTTACATTGCAAGTTAAAAGCACAAATTTCAAACAGGAATAAAATATACTATTTTAATCCTATCTTTCCTTCATAGTTAGTAAAATAACAATAAAATAGACTATTTTAAACATATTTTGCACGTGCAGAAAATTACATAAATTAAAATAGATATAAAATATACAGAATAAAATAGACTATTTTAAACCTATTTCACATTTTAAAAATGCCACATTTTTCAAATAGGGATAAAATATACTATTAGTTAAACCTATTTACATTCCCTAATTTGCAAAATAGAATAAAATACACTATTTTAATCCTATTTTACATTTACAGGAATTCAGGATTACAATTTGCAGATATGTATAAAATAGTCTATTTAAATTAAACATACTGAATTTTCCTACTTAGCAAAATGAAATAAAATAGAACCGTATTTTACATTTACACAGATAAGGGACCAATCATTAATAATGGAAGGGGGTGAGGGGCGGAGGGTGAGAAAAGGAGGAGGCTTCAACTAGTGCGTACAGCGTCATCCCCACTGGTCATCCCATGCAGTGCTTCCACTTGCAAGGAAATTTCTTTGCAAAAAGAAATAAAATTTACTAGGAAACGGCAAGGAATTTTGTTTTCAGCAAGCAAATAAGGATATTACGTTATTTCTAATAAATTCTAAGAGTATAGCAATTCCCAAGCAAATTCGCGTCAGGAAATGTCGAAAATCCAAACTACTCCTGGGGAATGGAAAATCTGAAAAATTTCTGAGGCATGACCTCAAGCCTCCTGTTGCAGTTTTTTATAATTAATTTATAATTTATAATTGCAACGTTCATGGTGTTTCTCGCCCGAGAAATACACCCTCATTCAAGATGAATTATTGTAATATCAGTTTTAAACTAGGTAAAATTCATCTTCATCAAAGGAGTTTTTGTCAAAAATAAGGAAATTTTGAGCAGTTGGGACAGTTGGGAAGAAAATTATTTTTTTGAAAGTGGAAGTGGAAGCACTGAATTTACACCCCGCCATATTTTTTATAATCAGTTCGTGATTTCGAAGTTACAATATTTCGCTCGATATTTCGAGCCGATGAAGCTTTATTAACCGTGAATAATCGAAGATAAAACATCAGGAATGATTGAGTAATGTCCAGGTAAGAATCTTGTTATGTTTTATGAATAATAGAGCAATTTTGAAAGGAAATATTTGCTTTTTTCATTCGTGAATTTTGAGAATGCACGTGTTTGATGACCTCTGATGTTTCGGCTTAAAATTTGAATTTACGGCGACAATTTCGAAGTAATATTTCGCTCGATATTACGAGCCGATGAAGCCTTAATAAGCGAAGATGAAACATCAGGGATGACTGAGTAATATCCAGCTAAGAATCTTGTTATGTTTTGTGTATAATAGAGCAATTTTGAAGGGAAATATTTTCTACTTCAATCTTCATTCGTGAATTTTGAAAATGCACGTGCAGCTGCTTGATGTTTCGGCTTAAAATTTGAATTTGCCGCGACAATATTTAAAACGATGATATAAAATGACATGTCTTGCAAATATAACGACATATCTTGTGAAACACTGGTGAAGGTGAATCATATTTGATTCAAAACATACAGTTTTTATAAATACACCGATTCAGCAAAAAAGCAATGCTGCATGGAAACGAGGCTTAATAGCCCTTGACGCTTGACCATATCCAAGATGGCGGATGAACTAGCAGCCGCAGCTGGGGGAAAAATTGCAGCGAAGAAGAAAAAAATGGGACATAAATGTTGTGCAGCTGCCAATTGTAATTTTCGAAGTGACAATCGTCCTGATTTGTCTTTTCATGAGTTTCCAAAGGATGATTACTTAAAAAAGAAGTGGGAAGTCAAAATGCGAAGAGGAGACGCTACTTTCAAAAACATTGCGAATAAGTTTTGTTGTTCTGCGCATTTTTTGCCATCGGATTTCAAACAGAGTTTAACGGGGCATAGGCGAGATTTAAAGAGAGGAGCAATCCCTTCAGTGTTTAAATGGGCACCAGTAACTAGTGACCCCAGAGGAGAACGTTTAAAATTGCGAAACGAAATGATTGCCAAATCTAAATCTGAACAACAAACCGAGCATGGACCTGACGAGCAGCAACTTGCAGGTTCATCAATATCATCTTATTCATCTGGCAGAAATATGGTTGTTTTTGGCCCTCGAACACTCGAAGAATTTATCAATGAAAAGAAAGAAGAAGCAGAGCAGCTGAAAGCAGAACTTACTAGAGCCAAGGAGAAAGAATATATTTTTACGTTTGGTCTGGAAAGATTCTCAGGTAGTAATGAGGACATAAACTTTTACACAGGATTTCCTGACTATCAAACGCTGATAGAATTCTGGAAATACATAGAACCTAATAGTTCTAGATTAACATACTACAGTTATCTTAAGAATTCCACTGATGTTAATTTTAACAATGCATTTCCATACCTTAATTTAACTGAAAAAAAGTTTCCTGGTAGTAGTGTAGGTGCCCAACGCAGTCTTCAGCCTATAGATGAGTTTTGGCTTTTCCTAACTCGACTCAGAGTGGGTCTGTTAGAGCGTGACTTGGCTTTCAGGTTTAATATCTCTGTGCCAACAGTATCAGACATAATTATAACTTGGAGTAACTACATGTATATAATGCTTGGGAGCTTGCCAGTATGGACTTCAAGGGAAGTAATTAAGTTACACCTACCTGAAGCCTTTAGAGGGCGATTTGAAAATGTAAGGTGCATCATAGACTGCACAGAGGTTAAGTGTGAAAAACCCCAAGATCTTCAGAAGCAAAGTGAATTTTATTCTGAGTACAAAGCACACAATACTTATAAGGGATTGGTAGGCATATCTCCTAATGTTTGGGTTACATTTGTAAGCAACCTGTATGGACGTAGCATATCTGACAGAGGAATTGTGGAGAAA